GTTTTGTCCCCTGCTGAAGCTCCCATTGGCTTAAGGGTCTGTTTGCTTGAGACAGAGAAAGAGTCAGACCTCACTGAACACACCATGAGATCACCTTCAGGATTTTGACTTTATTCTTGTACAGAGCTGTAGTGAAGGGACAACTTATTGCTATTTCTCTTTGGTTTCATTGAACTTTTGCTTATCTGGTGCTCTTTTTCCTCCTGGCTCAAGTATTTCTCAGGAAATCTTTATTGTGTGAAACCTTTCATATTGCCATTTTAGCCAAAAATACAGCCTACTGCACCCCTTTTTAAGTAGGGCTCCATTTTCCCAGTAATTCCAAGAGTGGAGAAGTGCAGGTTACTACAAAATCATTCCTGATCTTCATACCTATTAGAAGAGAGAGCTTCAGTCTTTTGTCATTCTCCCTAGCAGCTTCCCTCAAGAACTAGGGGGTGGTCGAAATTCACCATCATTCAAAAGTGCTCCTCCTCTTAGATCTTAAACTCTGTATGTCTCTTCTTAGTCTTCTGTCTTTCCACTTATGCCACTATACCTCACTCTTCCCAAACCTGTTCTTTACATTTATTGTAACAACCAATTTGTTTATCCATGTCTTTTCTACCAGTCTGCCATTTGTCATGGCCTCACTTCACTCTCAGACATACTTGATTCAATTATGAACTCTTCATACTGTAATACCTCATTGCCTTGAACATCCATTATTGCTGTCCTTCAAAACCCAACCCTGGGTAATTCCTACCATCAACCTTCTGTATGCATTACCAGATTGCCAAACACTGCTGGAGATAACTATAAAGCCATACTGAGTCCATTATTTGTTAATACAATTTAACCTCCAACTAATCTTTCACTACAGCACAACAGTTCTTTTATTTTACTCTTAATGACCTCCTGTTATATCTGCAATATTAGTTGCTCCATGTATTCTCTCTCCTCAAATTTGCAATATAATTCTATCATGTTTCTCTCCATTCTCAGCATATAGACTCTCTCCCTACATTACTGAGAAGACCAAATGCATCTCAGGTGACATCTCTCAATTCCCTTCCACTCTTGTGTAGAAACAAAGAAAATTCATGTTTTGTTCTTTCCCTTTGTTTTTTTCTCCTTATCTTTCTCAAAGTTTAGCTCCTCCTTGTAGTCTTTAATCCCATCTTCTCCTATCTCCTCCTTGACTTTGCTGCATTGTCTTCTTTTAATGTATATTCAATATACCCCCTTTCTTCCCACTCTCCTCTGCTGGAACCTTTCCTTCCTACAAACATCTTCAGTTCTCTCTTATCCTTGAGAAACAGAAAATTTCCTTTCAGCTACCCTTCACTACTAAAATTCCAGAATGAGTAATCTATATTTGATGCCTCTGTTTACTAGCCTTCTTCTTATTCCTCAGTTACTTGTGATCTGACTTTTGTCCTCTTCACTCTACTGAAACTATTCTTTTTTTTTTATTTTCCCCCACATTGGTCATGTTGTAAAGAAGAATTAGAACCAAGAGGAGGAACCACAAGAAAGAAGAAACAAAACAAAAGAGAAGGGGAAAAAATGAGCAAATAGTATGCTTCGATCTTCATTCAAACTCCATAGTTCTTCCTCTAGATGTGGATATCATTTTCCATCATGAGACTTTTGGAGATCTCTTAGATCCTTGCATTGCTGAGAAGAGCTAAGTCTATCAAAGTTAGTCATCATACAACGTGACTGTTATTATGTATAACGTTCTCCTGGTTCTGCTCACCTCACTCAGCATCAGTCCATACAAGTCTTTCCAGGTTTTTCTGAAGTTAGCCTGTTCATCATTTCTTTTTTTGTTTTGTTTTGTTTTGTTTTGTTTTGCTTTTTAGGCAATTGGGGTTAAGTGACTTGCCCAGGGTCGCACAGCTAGCAAGTGTCAAGTGTTTGGTCTCAGGCTGCATTTGAACTCGGGTCCTCCTGACTTCAAGGCCGGTGCTCTTTCCACTGTGCCACCTAGCTGCCCCCATGTTCATCATTTCGTATAGCACAATAGTATTCCCTTACATTTGTACACCATGATTTGTTCAGCCATTCTCCAATTGATGGGCATCCTCTCAATTTCCAATTCTTTGCCACCACAGAAAGATCTGCTAGAAATACTTTTGTAGATGTGGGTCCTTCTCCCATTTTTATGACCTCTTTGGGATATAGCCCTAGAAGTGCTATTGCTGGGTCAAAGAGTATGCACATGAAACTCTTCTTTTTAAGGTTACTAATAACCTTTTCAGTGAACCCAGCCATTCAGCTGTCTCTTTTTTGTGTTTGTGAACAGCTATCTACTTCTAGATCAGGAAGGCTTAGCCTTTTTTGTGTCATGAACCCCTCTGGCAATCTGATAAAACCTGTGGACTCCTCAGAATAATGTTTTTGAATGAATAAAAAAAGGGCTTCAAAAGAAGTCAATTATATTGAAATATAATGATCTTTTTTTTTAAGTTCATAGAACCCAGGTTAAGAACCCCTGTTCTGGATAGTCTCGTATATGTTGGTATCCAGAACGTTTCATTCTGCTGGTTCTCCCCTTCTCCCCCTGCTTTTTTTTTTCTGTGAACTCTTTCCTCTTCTTGGGCAGTTGGGTGGCACAGTGGATAGAGGGCTGGGCCTAGAATCAGAAAGACTCATCTTTGTGAGTTCAAATTGGGCCTCAGATATTTAGTAGCAGTGTGACATAACCTTGTTTGCCTCAGTTCCTCATCTGTAAAAATGAGCTGGAGATGGAAATGGTAAACCACTCCAGTATCTTTGCCAAGAAAAACCCCAAATGGGGCCACAGAGAGTCAGACCCAACTAAAATGACTGAATAGCAACAACAACCTTCCTCTACTTCCCCTTAAATTTTGTCGCTCCATAAGGCTTTGTCCATGGCAATATTGATAGTCTTTGGTGATCTAAACTAAGCCCATAATTTCAATTAGCACTTCTATACAAAAGACCCCCAAATCTCTATCTCTGGCCCCAACTTTCCGCAGAAATCTAGCCTCACATTTCCAGCTGCCTACTAGTTATCTCCATTTGTTTCATCATAGCAGCTCAAACTTAACATTGCCAAAGAAAGCTCATCATCTTATACCCCAAACCCACCTCTTCTAACCACTATTTTGGTGATGGCACCATGCTCTTAACCATTCTTTAAATCCCAGGGACATCCTTGACTCTTTCCCCTACCTTACTCCCCACATTCAGTCAGTTGCTAAAAATTATTGGTCCTATTTATGCAATAACATTTGCATCTTTCTCCTTTTTACTGTTACAGACACCACTCTAGCTAAGGTGATCTTCTTCTCACTGTTGCACTCTTGCCTGATCTTTCTTCCTCCATTATTTCCCCTTACTAATTCATCTTTCTTTTTTTTTGAGGGGGGGGTTGGGTTTTGGGTTTTTTTGGTTTTGGGGGGCAATTGGGGTTAAGTGATTTGCCCAGGGTCACAGAGCTAGTAGGTGTCAACTGTTTGGTCTGAGGCCGGATTTGAACTCAGGTCCTCCTGACTTCAGGGCCAATGCTCTATCCACTGTGCCATCTAGCTGCCCTTACTAATTCATCTTTCACACTGCAGTCAAAATGATTTTCCTCATGCACAGATCTGATCTAGTCATCCTCTAGGTCAAAAACTTTTAAAAACTCTACCAAATAAAATATTGATTCTTTACCCTCACATTCATATGCTTCCATAATCCTGTTTTCCAGTACCTTTCTAGCCTTATTTCACCCTTTTCTCCTTTATATACTCTGCACTCCAGCTCAATTAAACTAATCATTGCTTTGCTCTAGTCTGTTCATAGCTTTTTTCTTTTCTGCCTTTGCATATCCCATTCCCTGTATTTATAATGGACACTTAATCATGGGTGTTGAATGGGTGTTGCCTCAGTCAAAATGAGACCTGTTAAAGACCTTAGCTTAAAAAGGCCAAAGTCTCCCATTGCATCTCCAGTGGTCCTGATGTATATCTTGTCACTGGGCTCAGTGACAAGGAGGAGAAAATGAGCCTGGTGACTTTGCACAGCCCTCCCTCACTTAAATCCAATTCTCTTGAATGTCTTGGCATCACCTCCATGATGTCATGGTCCTCTTTGAGAATGAAGGACAAACAAAAGACACCAATTTTCACTCCCCTGCCATCTTCTCTCACTATGTTGAAAGCCTTCTTTTCTATCATTTGAGATAATCCAAGGTGCCGTCTCTTTCATGAAGGCTAATCTGAGCTACCCCTGCTGAAAGTGATAACTCCCTCCTTCCTGTGGCTCTTTGTGTAGACCTCTCTTTTGTATTCATTTGGATTGTTGTTGTTTTGGTTTAATTTTGGGTATGTCTCATCTCATCTTCTAGTTTGTAAGCTACTTCATGACAGAGTCTCTATGCTTGTTCTTTGCATCTTTTTATCCCCAGATTCTAGGGCAGTGGCTTATACATAGTAGGTTCTCAATGCTATTTGACTTGAATATAACTGTGTCCTAAGAAAGGAGAGATTTTAACTCCTTTCCGTGTATATTTTAGAATAAAAAATCTTCCAAAACTTCAGACTTATGATCAGCATAATGACATTGACTTTTTCCTACTTTGTGTAGAATATGAAGGGCTATATATAGGAGAAAACTCATGGGGCACACATTAGTTTCTATGTTCAAAAATTTGAAGGGTTGCCATGTGGAAGATAGAGTAATCCTACTCTATTTAACCCCAGAGGTCAGATTTCAGTACAGTACATTAGATCCAAAACAGAAATTAATTTCTTTCCACCCCCCACCTCCAAATTTCTGTTAATGTCAATTGACTCTGGAAACCTCAGGATCACCTCTGTCTCTCTCAATCAGTATATTCAACCAATCATTTAAACCTGTGGATCCTACCTTTGAAATATCTCTGGAATCTTCCTTTTCCTTCTTATTCCCACTGCTACTTAGTAGATAGGACCTCTAGATGAGCAAAAGTATTTTTTTGTCTTTAGGAATTAGTAACATTCAAAAATGTGACTGGATTTTATCAGGAACAGGAGCAACTGGAGCCTTCTCAAAAAGACTACACAAGGAAATAATGCTGAGGAACTACACGAACCTGGTATCATTAGGTAAGGATGGTTTTCATGTGTCTCAGAATCTGCCATTTGGGTGTACTCATTCCTGATTCCTGGGATGGTTTGTTTTTCCCAGTACAAATATTAGATTCCTACATATTTTCTCATAAGCAGGTTATCAAATTTCAAAATCAGTGTAGTATCATCCCCTCAGCTTCATTTGTACTCACCCCATGTGGCCTATCCATTGTCGAATCTTGTTGTTTCTACTTTTGTAATATCTCTGGTGTATATATATATATATATATATATATATATATATATAATATATATATATATATATATATGTATATATATATGTACATATGTATATATATATATATGTATATATGTATATATATGTATATATATATGTGTATATATATATATATATATATGTATATATATATATATATATATATATATATATATATTCCCTTCTCTCCATTTACATAGCTGCTACCCTAATGTAGGTCCTGTTTATCTCACACGTGGTCTATTGCAATGACCTTCTGGTTTGTGTCTGTGAGCCTAGGGTTCTTATGGCCCAATAGAAATGAGAACACAGGTGTTTTAGGTTCATAATGTAGGGAGATGGAAATCTGAGTTTCCACTAAGGACCTGCCTGGACTACGACTATCCCATAACTTGTCATACTTACTACCTATAACCTCTAGGGCTTAGCTCCTAAGATCATGCTAGGCCCTAATGGCTAGCTGGAGGGGAGTTACTCTGCAGAGTTACCAGGTGTTTTACCAATGGAGAGCAAAAATTCTCTGAAGCCAACCTATTCAGTTGTGAACATTGGAGGTTGGGAGTTGATGTGAGTACAACCTTTGTGCCTGGAATCCCTATTTTATCGTATTAATTAAGATCGAACTGGGAATGTCCCAGGAAAGTGGGACAATATTCATTCACATTTCTCTCTCTTCATCTTGCTTTGCCGCAGGCACTACCTGCTGGATTTCTGGAGGAGCAAAGGGATCAGAGTTTGTTGGCCCTGTTGTCTTTTCACTGCTTTCCAGCCTGGGGTGAGTAAGGTTAGGGGGGAAAAAAGGAAAGGAGGCTGGGACTCTAAGGAGCAGTGTCAGAAGGGGAAGAGAAGAGGTCTTATATCTCTTTTATTTTATTTTAATTCCTAACTTAATAAACACCAAATAAAATGGGTATTTGCATATACCAAATAAAACAGAAGAAAAGATGATTGTTCATGAAACTGTGTATTTCTTACGTGCAGCTTGTTTTTTCCTTTTTTATGTATATGATAAATTCAACATGTAACTTTAAAAGCTATCCTACTTAGGCATTTCCTTCTGGCCTTCTGTTCTCTTTTGTGCATTAAAATGTTTCAATGACACTCTTTTCTTTCTTTCTTTCTTTTTTTTTCCTTTTTGGGCAATTTTATTGCCAACTTCCCTTTCCTTTCCACTATTAGAAGAAAGAAAAAGTCTTGTAGCAAATATTCATAGTACAGCAAAACAAATCCACATTGCAAAGTTGTATTTCTTGAATTGGAAGTTGAGTAAAGAGTCCAGTGACAGCAGGTCCAGAAACAGCCAATTCATGCTCTAGTTGGATGATCACTGATAACTACATCTCTTACTGACTTTCATCCTTCAGATAAAGGGAAAAGAGAATCAGTTTCTTCAGGGCCCTGGGACAGAATCTGTGGATCACCTTTATCCTTGACTTCTAAAGGCTTTTGCCCAAGTGTGTATTAATCTCATGGTTTGCCATTGGTTGTTTCTTATTACCTTACATTTTTAGAGAGCTTTAGAGTTGACAAGGCAGTTCACAAGCAGGTCATTACAGTTTTTTGTCAATGGTTTGATCCAAGTTCCCTTACTCCCCTGCTTTATTCACACCCAACCTTTCTCCAGCCCCATGCCTTTTCTGGCTTTTCTCTATAGGCAAAGCTGTTGTATTTTCCAACTCTGAAGAGAAAGTGACAGGCATTCACTTCTGCAGCCCTTTTATCTATTGTTTACATGTGAGGTTTGAACCAAATCTGAAAGCATCATTTATATTCATTTCAGAGCACCCCTCCATACTACTCTCTGAACTGTACTTTGTCAGCTTCTTTGTCTTTATCATCTCTTTACAGTCTGTAAGACTCTAAGTACTGTTTGTATGACTGAAGACTCTGGAATCTTCCTGTTAATTCTGATCTCTCTCTGCCCACAGCACCAATTAGTAGACTGTAGATTCTCTGCCTGAATTTGAATGGATTTGGTTCCTTCCTAAGGAGGCAGATTTGAACCCTAGAATAAAGATCCCCGATGAGGAGACGTTGTCCATGAACAAGGAGATGGCCACCTCTAGGAGTACTCATGGTCCACATTTACAAGATCAAGATGAGGTTCTGAGAATGACTTTTTCTGAGGAACATGAAACTCTTCTAAAAAGAAACACATTTGATGCTACAGTCTCTCATCGTAACTTCAGACACTTTCAATATGCAGAAGCAGATGGACCCCATAAAGCCCTAAGCCAACTTCGAGAGCTCTGCCATCAGTGGCTGAGGCCAGATATTCACACCAAGGAGCAGATTCTGGAAATGCTGGTATTAGAACAGTTTTGGGCAGTCTTGCCTGGAGAGATCAGGACTTGGGTAAAGTCACATCATCCAAAGAATGGGGAAGAGGTGGTGAACCTGATAGAGGATTTGACCCAAATGCTTAAGGAGGAAGGTAAGACTTACAAAAGGACAGGGAGAAGACCTGAGGATGTAAGAAAGGGAAATATGCACCTGAAGGTGGAGGGGTTAGGGTGGCAGGTGCTTGGAAAGACAATAGTGGAAAGGAAAATATCTGGAGGGTACATAAAGAGGCACAAGAGATTCTACCTGCACAAGTCAATAAGAATATTTGAACCATCAGATGGAATCCAGGTATCTTCTTGGTCCTCTATGAGCAACAACATGTTTGAAACCACAGAGGAGAGAACATTCTCCACTTGATAGTCCTGTTTTGGTTTTAGTAATGTGGGACAGTGATATACAGTCTACCATCATGAAAACTTCCACAGAGGGTGCTTTTCTCCAGAAGCTAATGCCATTCAGCTTATAAATGGAAAAACAAAAAACAAAACAGAATGATCATTTGACTTGTACAAGTCTTTGTATGTCTTACTTATGTTCACATTAAGAGGACCACGCAAATCTTCTGACTTCCATCTTTGTCTTTTCTAGATTACTGTTACTCAACTGCCCATCTGTTCTGTGAAAAACTAATGCCAGTTCAAAAAAACTTTTACAACTTTTATTTCTTAAAACATAAAAACTCTTTGAACTCTTATTCTACTCCTTCTTCCTATACCCTTCTCCTTTCATCCCTGCTCCATTTTTTGTTTTCCCAGTGCTTGGTGTCTGCCTTGCCCTTTCCCCCTTTACCATACTGAAATTGTAGGGAGCAGAGTGGTCCCTGGCGAAGACTTCAGATATTTATAAATCCACAGTATTATTTGGGTTGAGGAAATTGTACTAAATCACCTAATTCTGGCATTAAAGCCAATATTTTGTTTCTTTGGAGCTGCTTTTTATAAAGCAGTTGACAAACTGATCTTTCACATTCTGTAAAGTAGGATAGGGGCTTGGAAAATATTCCTTCAGTAGTTAAGGAAACCACTATGGCAGAGAGAGTTTGAATTACGTTCTTCACATCACATAGCAACTTTGAGATAGAGCTGCACAATCAGTGCTTCCGGAGCGCTGTCCTCTGCAGTCTTCTCTGACCCCAGAGATGAATTTGGAGCTGTTGTTATTGATGTCCAGGGTCTTTTGTTTCACTCCTAGCAAAATCAGGGCTATTTCTGGGCTTTTGTTGCCTCTTTGTTCTATAAGAAGGGCTAATGGTGTGTGGAGATTTCTAATGTGGGATTTGACACACAGGACTAGTGTCCTTCATATCTTCATTTTCCTTCCGTAGTTCTGCCTTCTCAGGACTCTGTCCTTCCCCATGAAGAGGAGAGAATAGGCCCTGAATTCATGACAGTCAATTCCCAGGTGAGTTGGGGTTTCCCCTTTTTCTTGAAATCTTGATTCTTAGAGCTTGAGTGGATATTTTTTACTTCCATTGTTCCAGAATGAAGGAAATTTGGTCCACTCAGGGCAACAAAAAATTCCATCGAAAATGATTTCCACTTCTCTAGTATGCTGCTTCAGGGTTCCTTTCCTACCCACCCAGCATTCATTCATTTAAGAATGGGAAAGAGAAGTTGGTGAAATTCTTTATTTGCTTTAATGATAGTTTTGTGCTTCCAAAGGTAGAATACGCAACAGGTGAAACTCTTCTGGACCTCACTTTTACCAGTAAGGTAAGGAATTGGTTGTTGCAGTAGAAATGATGAAAACCTGAAGGCAAGTGACCACACCATGTTAAAATTTGTGATAGAGTAAGAGAGACATTCCAGGAATAGTCTGATGCACGTGCTAAATTTTTGGAGAGTAGATTCCAAATGGCTACTCAAAAAAAAAAAAAAGGATAAGATTCCATGGGTTAAAATCCTGCAGGGCAAGTCGTCCTAAAAGAGTTTGGAAACACTAAAGAATGAAACTCTGAAGACACAAACAGATAAGTTCCAATAAGAAAGAGAAGAGAGATCTTTCTAATGATACCGATGTGAATAAACATTACAAACTTAGATTTGTAAAAGATATAGAAAAGATGGAAGCAAGGACAAATAGGAGAGGATGACTACAAAAGCAAGGACAAATAGGAGAGGATGACTACAAAAGAGAATCCTGAGTCTAAAAATGATAACCTCAGAAACACTAAAGGTCAGAATGAACTAAGGCTAGTGATAAAGTAAGTGATCTGATTATTGTTTAAAGGTGATCCTGTATTCTTAAGATTTATGCCAGCAAAACATGAACTCTGATTCTACCAAGATGGAAAGGCTTTCCTGGTCCTTGCATCAGACTGTGTTCTGAGAACGGTCCTAGCTAAGGACGGAGTCTCATCATCAGCATACTGACCACATAATAAGAGTGTCTTTGGCCATGGCAATCCATGAACAAAGAAGAATACAAAAGGGCCCTCAGAACTGTGTGGTCCCCCCCCTTCAGCATTTACAGTGACAGGGGTAGAGGGTGCTAAGAATCATGCAATATTTAGGGCATTTATTGATTTGTTTTGTCTAGTGACCAAATGAATAAACATACTTGAGAAAGTGACATATTAATCTTGAACTTCTCACTGTAAATGAAAACAGAAGATAAAAGGGACGTTACAGCCAAGTGGGAGGAAGGTTCAAATATTCTCCTTGGAGAAGCAAACAAAGGAGTTGGCAGTGTTGGTGTTATAATACAACCAATGCAGCATTTCCTGAGTCATTTGGTCATCTTATGGTACAGTTGTCATGAAAAGTATTTGTAAAAAGATCGCCATGAAAATAAGTTACCTTATGCATAAATATCTGTTCCAAAGAATGAAGTGATTGAGCAGTTCCTTGAATCTGATAATACATTCTAAGGTAAATCAATATATATGCTTTGATACTTGAAGACTTCAAGATAGAGGTGGGCTGAAATGATAATGTTGAAAAATATCTTGTAAAATATGGAATAAGGACTGAAAGAGGTCAACAGTTTGTAGACTACATAGAATCGTCATACCTGTACATCATAAAGCTTCTTCTAAGAAAAATATTGAAGAGACTGGACAAGAGAAGCCCTGGAAAATATCACCAAAATGGAATTAATTTTTTTAACACAGAAGGGATTCATTGATGTGGGAATCATTCTTAAATTAGTTGTCTATGAAATTAGACAACCCACTTATTGGAGCAAAGATAAAAATTAATGCAAAGTAAGAAGAAAAAATGAAAATGAGGAAATGAGGAAAAAACTTCAGTATGACCTATTTAAACAAGTTTTTGATACCAAAAAATGGGAATCAGATGGGGAAAGGATATTGACCTTATTATAAGAATTTCATATGCAAGTTTCACTAAAGAAAATCAGTTGCTATAATAGGAATACCAAAGGAGCCTAAAACTTCATTAGTTACCAAACATTTTATTGATTTACTCAGCAGAGACATGTAACAGCTGATAATAACATCAATTTAGACTACAAATTCATTTGTTAAATTTTGCAAAGACTGTTGGAATATTATAAGTCATATTTCCTTCTAAACCATCAGGAAACTCTGGAGAGAAAAATAGTCTAATAAAGGCATAATGAAAGACACAACTAAGCAGAATTATCTTGAGAAAATCCAAAAGGATGCAAAAACAGTCAAAATGAGAGGAAGTATGGGATAAGTCAAAATGACCCAAGTTCAGGTCTTGCTTCTGACTTACACTGGCTATATGTCCCTGGGCAAGTCATTTAACCCCTCACTCTCCAAGACAACTTTATAAGATAACACTGCAGAAAAGTTGTAGATCTATATTGGTAGAAGGAGCTTCCTCTTCAAAGATATCTACATGAATGAAATCACAGATCAGCCCCAAAAGTAAATAAATAAATAAGATCTAAAATATACACAGACAAAAGACATTTAAAAAATACAATTTTTGTAATAAACTTTTTTCCCTATCAAAGATAGTGAAGCTACCACATTTGAGCTCAATCACATTCCTAGCTATGCTTCTAGAGGAATAACAAAATTAAATTAAAGAGAGCAAAAGTAGAAGAAAGTAGCTGGACTAGCAAATATACACTAAGGAGGCATGCTGGAGGTAACAAAATTTTTAGATTATCGAAAGATTAATTCTGGGGGCATCTGGAGGAGAAGGAGGTGCCAAAGGAGTTTTTAAAAATTTCAGATATTATTGTCAAAAAATATGACTGAGAAATGATCACTAACTTAACCATATGCTTACTTTCCCATCTTTAAAAAATGTTTTAAGAATGATCTTCATATGCATTGAGAGGTCACTCTTGATAGGAGTGTTCTAATCTATCTTTTGTATGATAATAAAGATGTAGTTTGCTGTGAAGTGTTTCTTGAGAAAACCTGCCCATTACCTTTTCATACCTCTATACAAGGGTGGCTTAGGTAGATAATTCTATGAACTATAAAAGTGTTATTAAAAGGTGAAAATAAGCATATGAGCTGATAGATATTGATGTCCTCTCAGTCCCCTTTTTTGATAATTAGGTCTGATATTTGCAAAGCCTTTGGTATCTTTTTCTCCTTCATTTTCTTCTTCATTTCTCCCAAACAATTAATACCCCAGTGTCCTCAAAATTGTTGCCTCTACCACAGACCACCCGCTGTGTATATTTGATCTGTCTCAACTGCTTTTCTCATCTTTGCTTTCTACAGTGCATTTCTACTTCCTCTAGAAACACTGTTAGACTATAATGAGAAAGAGACGTAGTCTCACAGTCTATCTATATATATACATATATATAGATATATCTATATCTATATATATGTTTTCCTCCTTCTAATTTCCTCCTGTAATGCTGTCATGTGACTTCATTTAGTTGGCTCCTTGACCAAACTTTCTTTGAGTGGGTTTTTCCCTATCAGTTGATACTCCTCATGATTTTCTTTTACCCTACTTCATAATATTTTCTTTTTTGTTTTCTTTTCAGTAGTACTGATAGGATATAATCCTTTCATTTATTTTTTGACATTAATTATTCATTTTTTACATTTTTTTAAAATTTTGATTTCCAAGGTCTTTACCTCCATCCCAACCTTTCCTCAACCATTGGGAAGGCAAGCAATATAATATCCCTTATGCATGTGAAGTCATGCAAAACATATTTCCATATTAGCCATGTTGCAGAAAAAGAACAATAAAAAGCAAGAAACATGAAAAAATATACTTCAGTCTGCACTCAGAGTTCCTCAGTTCTTTCTCTGGGGATGGATAGCATTTTTTATCATGGGTCATTTGGAACTGATCATAGTAGCTAAGGAAGGAAGGAAAGCAGCAAACAGGGGAAGAAAATTACAGCAGGTTTTTCTGATAAAGGTCTCACTTATCAAATATACAGGGAAGTGAGCCACATTTATAAAAATAAGAACTATTCCCCAGTTGATAAACAGTCAAAGCATATAAACAGGCAGTTTTCAGAAGAAGAAATCAAAGCTATCAACAAGCACATGAAAAAATACTCTAAATCACTACTAAATAGATAATTGTTGCATTTTGTTGGTAATTCATAAAAATGTTATTGGTTTATGTGGGTATATTTTATATTCTACAAATTTGCTAAAGTTGTTAATTGTCTCAAGTAGTTTTTCAGTTGATTCTCTAGAGTTCTCTAAGTATGCCATCACATTACCTGCAAAGAGTCATATTTTGTTTCTTCATTGCCTATTCTTATTTCTTCAATTTATTTTTCTTGTCTTGTTGATGTAGCTAGCATTTCTAATATAATATTGGATAATAGTGGTGATAATGAAGATCCTTGCCTCATCCCTGATTATTATTGGGAAGGCTTCTAACTTATTCCCATTACAGATAATGCTTTCTCTTGGGTATAGATAGATATTATTTATCATCTTAAGAAAGGCTTCACTTATTCCTATGTTTTCTAGTATTTTTAGTAGTAATGGGTATTGTATTTTTGTCAAAAGCTTTTTTTGCATCTATTGTGATTTCATTTGATTTCTGTTGGTTTTGCTATTGATATGGTCAGTTATGATTACAGTTTCCCCAAATTGAACCAGCTTTGCATTCCTGGTTTAAATCCTATCTTTGCAATATATTGTTGAAATCTCCTTGCTAGTATTTTATTTATTTAAATTTTTTGCATCAATATTCATAAGGGAAATTGACTTATAGTTGTATTTCTCTATTTTTTGCTCTCCCTGGTTTAGGTATCAAAACCATATTTGTGTCATAAAAGGAATTTGTTAGGATTCTTTCTTTACCTATTTTTACAAATAGTTTATATGGCATTGGAATTAAATGTTTAGTGGAATTCATTTGTAAATCCATCTGTTATTGGGGATTATTTCTTAGGGAGCTCATTTATGGCTTGTTCAATTTCTTTTGCTAAGCTGGGGTTATTTAGATATTCTTTTGTGTTAATTTGAGTAATTTATATTTTTCTAAATATTCATCCCTTTTACTTAGATTGTCAGTTTTACTGGTTTGTATTTGAACAGTATAATGCCTAATTAATATCATCTTTGTTGGGGGTGCATTCATCCTTTTCCTTTTTGAAACTAGTCATTTGCTTTTCTTCTTGTTTTAAATCAAATTAATCAATTGTTTATTCTATTGTTTTTATCCCATAAAACCAGTTCCTAATTAGTTCAATGTTTGTTTTTCTTTCAATTTGTTAATTTTCTTTTTAGAATTTTCATTTTGATGTTTAACTTGGGATTTTTAATTTGTTCTTTTTCTAGTTATTTTAATTGCATGTACAGTTCATTGATCTGCTCTTCCTCTCTTTTATTTATGTACATATTTAGAGATTATAAATAAGACCTCTCCTTCTGACCTCCTAAGTTGTCTTTGGCTAGAAAAATGTTTCACTATGATCTTTTGTTGTCTCTGATACTCCAGAATTTGATTTAAGACATTATTTTAAGGTTGTTTGGAGATCTTAGATGTTAGGAGATCTCAACTCCTCCCTGTATTCTGCCATCTTGGCCATGCCCCTAGAAGTGTCTTTTTAAAAATTTTACAAACATTTTTGTATCCTAAGCCAGTGTTGTCTTTGACCATCATTTCTTCACTTGGCCAATAGGTTGAGTGTTGGCTGGCTAAATCTTTAGTCTCTTTTGATCTTGTTATGATTGTATTATTGTACTTAACTTTATTTAGTTAAATTTATTTACAAAATTATTACAATTGATGTTGATGTCTTCCTTCATCCATTTCCCATTTGGAGTATCCCATAACTTATTTAAAAGTCAGGTTGGAGTAGAGGATGCTAATTTCTTTTTATAACTTCCCTTAGTACTTGAGCCGTCACTGTTCATTCCTCTTTGAATCTTCATGACCTTACTATCTGGTCCATATAATTTAGTGCTTGCCTGTATACTATTTTATATCACTCTCTAATCATTTTGCGTATGTTTTCTTCCCCAGCAAATTGTTCCTCAAAGATAGGAACTACGTCTACTACCTTGTACTTCCCTCAAAATCCAGCCCAACACTAGATATACAGTAGGGAATCAGCAAGGACTTCACAATAAAGTGAACCTTGAATTATACTAGAACCCTGAACATTGTCAGGAGCATTGTCTTTAAAAGCTTCTCACCTCCTCTAATAATTCCAACTCTTCCCAGGCCTACATGGGGAGATAGTTACAGATTGAACAGAAATGTCTTTGGCATTTCAGAAATCAATGGAATTCAAGGATGTAGCTGTGGATTTCACCTTGGAGGAATGGGAACAACTACACTTTGCTCAGAGGGAACTGTATAAGGATGTCATGCTGGAGAACTATAGGAACCTAGTCTTCCTAGGTAAGACTCTTCCCTCCTACTCCACCCATAAAATAACTCAGAACCTCCTCTTTAAGACATCTTTGTTTCCACACTTGCTAAGTGCTATAAGATGTCCGAAATGCTTAGCTGACTTTTGGTTTGTCCTTCAGGTATGATTTTTGCTAACCCCTTTTAAGTCAAGAGACAGGATGCTTTGGCTCCTCATCCCCAGATGAAAAGTCTTTGTAGAATAGGAAGTTAGTACCGTCACTATGCTATCTATTCTTTAGGCTGAGCTGTCCCCTTCTAAATCAAAAACTCTCCCCAGGGTCCTAGCACAGATGCTTGAAGACATGAAATGTATCCATCAGCCTTCTCTTTCTGAGAACACAATATAGACTGTCCTTTATGTTACCATCTGGTTCTTCTAAATATGTTCTTCCCAGAAGAGGAAGAAGCTAAGCTAATAACTCTTCATGTCCAGCATTTTCCCATTTCTTTCCTCATGAGTAGGGCTGTCAGTTTCCAAACCAGATGTCATCACCCAGTTGGAACAATTGCAAGCACCAGTGATGCTGGATAAAGAAGTCTTAAGATGTACCTCTCCAGGTGAGTCATTGCGGGCAGCAGCTTAGCTGGTTAATTAGGAGAATGTGTCTTTGAAAAGTTGGACAGGGAACTCACCTCAAAGTCCGTCATCTTGGTGAAGGAATGATACTGAGAATTATATCTTGTAGGCCTCCAATATACTTTTTAAGAAATTACCTTTCTGATGATATCTCTTTCATGCTGCTCTTTAATTACAGACAATTGTCTCCACTCTTTACAAAGGTAGCTTTTCCACCCCTACCTTGAATTCTGTCCTTTATTACCTGAATCTATCATTTCTGTCATGGTTAGTTTGCATTCTGAAATCTTCGTTGTCTCTTCCTCTTTTCTTCTGCATTCAAATATACGTAACTGTGCCATATATATATATATATATATATATATATATATATATACGTGTGTGTGTGGTGTGTGTGTGTATGTATGTATGTATATATGTACACACACATATATATGAAAAGTACTTTTTAAAGTGTGTACGGCTTATGTTTGGCCTCTCTATCTGTGTTACCTGCCCTCCAATTTTTCCATCATTTGAAAAACGCAAAATACCCAAAGTACCCCAAAATATTCCCCATGTTTTGCATCAATAAATGTAGAAAAACCTTCAATAAGAGAAAATAATTGAATTGGAAGACATGGAAATGAAAGGATTTTTTTTCCTTGCTGTAATGAAAAGGCATCTATTGAAAATGAGAGCTAGTATTATTTATAACAGAGAAAAATGAGATAATTTTCCACTGTGTGAAGCAAAGATGACCACCATCAACATTATTATTTGACTTAGTACTAAAAATGCTACATTCATGAATAAGAAAAGACATAAAGAATAAGTATGGGCAAAGAGAAGGCAAAAAATCATCTCTGTTTTCAAATGATATAATTTATCTAGAAAACTCAAGAGAATCATGGATTGACCCTCAGTCTTCACACCATCCCTTTAAAAACTTATTTTTTACTGCCCCTCAAAATGGTCTCTCTTTAGTGTTGTTATTGAACCCTATATCTCATTTACTGTATCTGTGCTTTTAGTTACGCTATATCCCCTATTAGCAGAGTCATACCCCTTCTCTTCTATATATCCATATCATACATTTCTTTTAAGGCTCACAGTAAGTCCTACCTTTTCTATTACCTTTCCCTGACAATTTTATCCCACTACAGAATCCTCCCTTCCCTGGTCTTCTGGACCACTTTCAGTCTGTATTATATAGTCTCACAACTTGATAATGTATTTTCCTTGGTCTGTTTTTCATACATTAATATAATCTGCCACCACCACCAAAGTAATAGCTCCTGAAGAAAAGAGACTCTGTCTTTCAATTCTTCTTCATCTCCAGTTATGGATACTTAGTAGGTACTCGGTATACATTAGATTGCTTTGAGTCAGTCATAGGACACATTACTGTTTCATTGCTGAAATGGTAGAAGTATAAAGAAGACGTAAATGACCCTCATAGCAACACTAAGCAATGTGGTGATGTAGAGGGACATGCTGCCCAGCAAGACCAGCAAATGGATTCCATCCTTGCTGGTTATACCATTTGTATTTATTATTGTTGTTGTTATTATTATTTTATTATATTAATCATTAAATAAATAATTGAAATTGATGATGATGATAGCATTTATATAGCACTATATACCAGGCACTGTGCTGAAAGCTTTACGAATGTGATCTCATTTGATCCTCCAACCCTGGGACGTAGTTGTTATTATTATCCTCATTTTACAATAGATGAAACTGAGTCAAACAGAGGTTAAGTGACTTATCCAGGATCACATAGATAGTGTCTGATGCTGAATTCAAATTCAGGTTTTCCTGATTCCAGGCCCAGCACTCTATCCCCATGTACCTCCTAGCTGCCCATTTTTCAGCTCACTAAGTCTTTTTAGTGTGGTAGCACTGAAACTGGATTCCTGTGGCACTGTGCACTTGGACCATAACATTGGAACTTGTCTGGTACTCCCTTTGGAGATTTGGGGCACTTACCCTTATTTTTCCTGTGCAAATTCTATGTCTCTTTTCTAGGTTGAGGAACTCATCCACAGACTGAGTACAGTATTGTTTGTTCATATTCTCTGATGAGCCAGATCCTATTGTAAGACCCTACTGATGTGGGTGTGATTTTCAGTGTGACAAGTCTGAAAAGATAGTCTTAGATTAGTACAACCATCTAGCTTAGGTCAGTAGTCTTTGATGAAGTTTGGCTCACATATTTTCCAAGGTAGGTTTATCTAAGAACCTTTCTTATTGTCTAGAAGCATAACAAGCTCATTTGAATCTGATAGGAAGGTTTTCTCTTTTAAATTCATTATTAATGTTACTGTGTTTTCACTACAAGAATTATGTACTGCTTTATAACTTATAGAACACTTTTATCATTATTTCTCTAATGTATATAATACAGATATTATTATCCTCATGTTATGAGAGAAGGAAACTAAAGGCCAGAGATTCAGAGACTTGCTCTTAACACAGAGAGATGAAATTAGAAAGAGTGGACATTTACTTTTTTTTTCTCCTTCCAGATAGGGAGACTGCTTCAGAAATCAGAGAATTAATTCGAAAGCAAGACATTGCTTTGAAAGAGTCAGCTCAAGAAAAACTCACAAGGGATGGTTCCTGGGTCTGTAATTTGGAAACACCTACAAAGTGTGAAATCAAGTTAGAGAAACAAGACAACCAAAAGAAACATTGCCAGCAAATAACAATTGGCAACAAGAAAACTTTTAAAAAGGTGAGCAGCTATGAATGTAAGAAATTTGGGAGAAACTTAAGTTTGGGACAAATCCTTGCTCCCCAAGAGAGAATTTCTTCAGGAAAAAGTCTCCATAAATGTGATACACACTTAAGAAACTTCAAACAGTATTCTGTGCTCAAACCAACTAAATGTAATCAAGTCCCTACATCGGGGAAAAAACCTTGTAAGTTTAATGAATTTAAGAAAATGTTTATTCCCCATTCAGACTTTAGTGAATATCATAAAAAAACCTCTGGAGAGCTACCATACAAATGTGACAGATGTGGGAAAGTCTTCCACTGGAAGAGACATCTTGTTCAACATCAAAAAATTCATACTGGAATAAAAACCTATGAATGTACTGAATGTGGGAAAACTTTTAGGCACAGCTCATCTCTTCCTGCTCATCAAAGAATTCATACTGGAGAGAAGCCCTATAAATGTAATGAATGTGGAAAAGCCTTCAACTATAGTTCATCATTTTTTGAACATCAAAGAATCCATACTGGAACAAAACCTTATGCATGTAACGTGTGTGGGAAAGCCTTTAACCACAGCTCATCACTTACTGAACACCAGAGAATTCATACTGGAGAGAAACCCTATGAATGTAATGAATGTGGGAAATCCTTCAGCCAGATGGGACATCTTACTAAACATCATAGAATCCATACTGGAGAAAAACCCTACACATGTAATGAATGTGGGAAATCCTTCAGTTGGAGTGCAGACCTTACTCAGCATCAGAGAATTCATACTGGAGAGAAACCCTATGAATGTAATGAATGTGGGAAGGCCTTCAGGTGGAATACATACCTTACTCAACATCAGAGAATCCATACTGGAGAGAAACCCTATGCATGCAATGAATGTGGAAAAGCCTTTAGGCAAAAGGGTCACCTCACTCAACATCAGAGGATCCATACTGGAGAAAAACCCTATCAGTGTAATGAATGTGGGAAAGCCTTCAGTGTTAGTTCATCTCTTATAAAGCATCAGAAAGTTCATTCTGGAGAGAAACCTCATAAATGAAATTAATATGGAAAATCTTTCAAGTGTAGTTCAGTTTTTCTTCACCTATTAGAGAACCATGGAAATGTCATAATTGGGTAAAGCTTTAGTCAGACTTGGCACTTATTAAATACTTGAGAGTTAAGATATCAGTTCAGCATCTGAGACTTTGGAAAAGTTTCCCTTTCCCTTTTTCTGGAAATGAAGAATAAGAGGTGAGGGGAGTATTTGTGCAATTTGGGGATTTTTCTAAGATTTTCAAGATCATGAAAATTGTCCTTGACTATTATTTTTTCTTGACAATCGTGTGCCCTTGTCTTTTTCTTATTTGGGTGAAAAGCACGATTACTTAATGACTAGTAGAACCTGATTTTCCAATTTAGATTAGCTTTTCTGAAATGCCTTGCAAATTCAAGTAGTGTTAATGAATTGAAAGTGGAAAATGCTTACCACCCATTAGATATATTGTGTTTTTAGTGTGAGGGAACTCTGGAATCCTTGAAAGAAAATGGGAAAACCAGCCTGCTTGATAACTTGGCCTTTTTTTATTATTAATTTCACAAACATTAAGGAACATGAACATTTCTACGCAAAGAATAACAAAAAGAGGATTTCATATCTTCTATTAATGGCTTATTTTTAAAAAAGAGTTATCTTTCATGAAATTTGGGGACACTTGTTTATTAGAATTAATTATGATCTTTTTTAAATAATAAGAACATCTTATTTTCTATTTCCTTAGTTTTCCCTTGTTTTCAAGTGTATTTGAGGGGGTCAGAAAACTCCACTAAAGAGACAAATCTTTCTAGCTCTCAAACTTTGAAAAAGAAACTGATCCCTTGGTCCTCAGATATTTTAACAAATAACAAAGGGAAAGGCAGTTGTATAGTGGAAAGAATGCCAGACTTGGAATCAGAAGATCTGAATTCAAGTCTTGGTTCTGCTACTTACTGCATGTATGACTTTGGGTAAGTCAGTTAGCATCTCTGGGCCTCAGTTTCTTCATCTGTAAAATTAGGAAGATAAATACAATGATCTCCAAGGTTCCTTCCAAATTATTGCATATATTATATATTTATTGTATGTATATATACATATATATACACACATATACACATATATATGTATACCTATGTGTATACAAATCTATTGTTCTAAAAAAGCCACGTATTAGCTTCTTTAGAAGTATTAGGAAATAATATGAGGAAGTACCTCAAGTCTACCATGTTATTAATATTATTAATAGGTTTCCTGATTGGCTGATCTTGAAGCTGGGATTGGAAGAGTGAAGCCTGAATCCCAAAATTAGCTTGTGTATGTCTGAAAGGAAAGGTACCATTTTTTTCTTAGGATATAAAAATGTAATAGGCACTCAGCTTAAGGAGACTCAGGATAGGCCAGGGTACTCTTGGATAATTTTAATTAAGGATTTTTGTTGTTTAGTCATTTCAGTTGTGTCCAACTGTTTGTGACCCCATTTGGGGTTTTCTTGGTAAAGATACTGTAGTGGTTTGCCACTTCCTTCTCTAGCTCATTTTACAGATGAGGAAACTGAGGCAAACAGAATTAAGTGGCTTGCCCAGGGTCACATGACTAGTAAGTGTCTAAAGCCAGATTCGAACACACGAAGTTAAGGATTGGATTAGAAAATTTAGGCAACAATTATTCTGGGGCTGGGTAGAGTTCATTTGCACTTCTAATTACCATACTTTGGTATATTATTTCTGAATTTGTATGTTGTTTTTTCCCTTGTTATTAAACAAAGTCTTGAATGTGTCAAAGACAGGGAGTAAAAGCAGGGAAAGAGCAATCATGTTAAGACCAAAGCACTTGGAAATAGTAATAGTGGCTAAGGAGGTAGAATAAGTAAGTAGGTGGAACAGATCTGTGAATTCAAAGAACTAAGCCATATCAGGGGCCTTGGAAGGTCCAAGAGGTCCAACACTTTTTTTAGAAGTTCAGTGATCAGAGAAGTTCAATAAGAAATTAAATCCTTAAGGACTGAAGATAATTCCCCTATATTAATTCCCAAAGAAGGAGTTAATATTTGAGGAACCTGACCACAGGTCAGTAAGGGCTAAGGGTCCTAAGTACAGTTAAGATAAAGGAGCGAATTCTCATTTTGATTTACATGGGAAAAGGATGCTCTAATATCTAGTGGAATCATGGGGACTAATGACTCTGCTAAGAACTTTTAGGTTAGAGTAGATTGAGAACTTTGAAACCCCCCAGTCTGTACTGGGTAATGTTCATTTATATGCACTTTCAATTAGCTGAACTTTCTTCTTAATATTTCTGAAATTATACTTTTTCCCTATTAATACTTATATCTATTTAAATATAAGATGGTACTTGCATGGTAAGGGGAAGAAGTAGAATCATGGGAACTATACATATCTCATGATGGCAACATTTGGTTATGGTATCCTTGATCCTTAAAGAATATAAGTTACTCTCCCTCCCTCTGCTATGACCTGAAGACCAGCCCACCCGGGACCCTGGCAGCTGTACTGGTTGTATTGCCCTTGTATCCCCATGCTCTTTGCCTGGGGTGTTTCATTTTAAGCCTTGAGCCTCCCCTTTGTAAATTAAAATGCCTATATTAAAGGCCTATTTTTTTTAAAGGAAGTCTATGTGATGACCGGTTTGAAATGTCCAACAGGAAGTTGATGATTAGAGCTCAGGAAAGACTAAAGTTGTATATAAATATTTCTGAGTCATATGCATAAAGATAATAAATCCATAGAAATTGACAGTCAATAAGTGAGAATGGGTAGAGAAAGAAGAAAATAGGATCTAGGCCAAGGTCTTGAAGAATGCCTACATTTAAAGGCATGAGATTAGGAAACTTTGCAATGGAGTGGATGTGGGCAGTAGTGAGGACCAATAGTCCAGGGCCAGAATACACAGGTGGGCTAATCACTAATTAACATGGGGTATGCTGGGACAAGGTATTTGGTGTGTATCTAGAGACAAGGAAGGGGAACTCTAGGTCAAGAGAGAATCTTGATTAGTCGAGCTATACTCAATGCACTTTAATCAGATCGCTCAGAAAGTTTGACCATTTACTCTGAAACTTAGGCAGTTTTCTTTACTTTTCTAATTACTTTCTTTATACTAAAAGACAGCATGCTATATTGGAGAAAGAACTGGTTTGAAGACAGTAATATTGTAGTTCAAGTCCTTACTCTAACATATGCTGTCTATATGACTCCAAGCAAGGCACTTAACCTTTCAATGCCTTCAGGCAACTCTGTAACACCATAAATTACAGAAAAAATGTCAATCTGCATTGCCTCACCAAAGTTCCTTACACTGAGGATATCTCAGATCTAGCCACTATCCTACTGTATTATATATATTTTTTTCCTTATAGGTAAACCCTAGAAAAATGACATGATCTGAGGTGTGTGGCTACAAGATAAAAGGGAAAATGAATACATGCCACAACAAGCCATCCATTGGTGGTGTCTGGGACAGAAAAAGGGATAAGAGGGAATTAGCAATGGAGAATCATCTCTGAATCCAAGGACCTGGAAGTCCAGGATGTTCAGTGATTTGGACTGGGGTTCAGTAACTAGGAACCTTTAAAACAAAACTACAGCTCAAGACTCTGAGTGCAAAGGCAAAGATTCTTGGATTTAAAATTTGGATGAATAAAAACCCACCCAAAGATGGGTTCTAAGGAGGAGTTCACATTCTAGGAAGTCAACTTGATTCATTGAGGTTCAAAGGTACACAGCAGGATCTTTTAGGGGTATGAACCTGCAAAAGATAGAAGATATTTTTGTTGCCATCTTCCATTTTATGGAAATAAGCTAGTTCTCTTGGAACTGTGAAGTATCTCAAATTGTCTCTTATGTTTTATCCCAGAACTTTGCCTTTAATATAGATATGACAGTAGATGTTGAAAGTGGATCACATATGGCTAACTTTGCAATAGGAAGTATGGCAAGATGGTCAAGTTTGGCCCACATCCTCTTCCCAAGGCAGTGGTGGTGGATTAAAATGGTCTAGCAAAAGTTAAGTGACATATATTCTTGGCCACTAATGTCCTCTTCCTAAAGCCCCACTCCATAGACCAAATTTATATCTTGTTGCCCTTATCAAAAATACCATCCTCTTACTCCACTTTAGTGTGGATTAATCCAATAAGGTGACTTTTCCTAATGTTATAGAATCCCAGTTGGAAAAATTCTTTCGATTTATCTACTTCAACTCTATATCTGATGCATAAATCCCTTGTACATCTCCAAAAACTTGTCCCGCCTTTAACTGAACACCCTGGGGATGTGACGTATACCATTCTGATAGTTATGAAATTGTTAGAAGTTACTACACTGTCATTTCTACCCATTGATCCTATTTCTCTACTATCTTCACTCCCTTGCCCCCATGAAGAACAATTCTAATCTTTTCCATGTGATACTCACAACTTTTGCAAATAATCATTATGAATACCCTAAATCTGAGGCAGCTAGGTGGTGCTATAGATATAATACTGGGCCTGGAGTTAGGAAAAACCTGAGTTCAAATCCAGCCTGAAACACGCCCTAGCTTTGTGACCCTGGGCAAGTTAACCTCTGTCTGCTACAGTTTCCTCAATTATAAAATGGAATTAATAGCAGCACCTACCTCCCAGGGTTATTGTGAGGATCAAATGAGATATTTGTAAAGAACATAGTACAGTCCCTGGTGCATAGTAGTCACTTAATAAATGTTCTTCCTTCCAGGTTAAACATTCCTGGTGCCTTCAACCAATTCTTATTGTTGTGCTTTGTTGCCTCACTATCCTGGTCACCCTTCTGTAGTTATACTACAATTTTTTCATCATCCTTTTAAAAATGTTAAGCTCAGAACTGAGCACAACATCCTTGATATGATACAACTAGTTCAGAATAAAGCAAAGCTCCATTCTGGCTACTATACTTTTGTTAATGTGCACTAAAATTACATTGGCTTTTTTTGGCGGTCATGTGTCTTTGTATTAAGCTTGTAGTTAATGAAGACTTCGAGTTCTTTTTTTTTTACATTAAATGCTATCAAACTGTGTCTCTCACATCTTATATTTGTGTGGTTGTGGGTTTTTGTTTAATGTTTTCGAAGCTAAAATGCATTTATTCATATTGGATTTCATATTGTTAAATATAGCCTATGCCAGCTTGTTGAAATATTTATATTGCATTTCTGTCAGGAAACATTCATATCCCTCCTAGCTTTGTGTCTATTGCAAACTTGAAAAGTACACCGCTTATATCTTGATCTTTGGTTAAAATGTTGATCTCAGGTCCTAGGACAGCCCTACAACAATTTACAAGAGACCTCTTTCCAGATTGACATTCATCTATTAATAAGCACTCTAATTCTAGTCATTCAGCATATTCTAGATTCATCAGACTGTACTATGATACTACCCACATCAATCAATCTTATCCACAAAAATAGTATGATTTGTCAAATGCTTTGCTGATACCATCTACAGAATTACTTTAAAATGCAGTCTTATAACTGTGGCAGCCCTAAATTGTCTGATGATAGAATTCATAAGTCATTGATGTCCTCCTGATTTTTCTATCCATTTCCTTGACCCTAATGCTCTTGCAAGTTACACTTCTCTAATCACCCCATTAGCTTTTATTTTTAACCTTTTGGGAAGTATTCTTTACTTACGAAGTTAGAGATGGGAGCTAGATACTTATTGGCCCATGGCTAGCTCCCATCTCTGATGCCTGAAGCAAAGATTATTTCCCATTTCTAGGAAAGCCATAAGCACTGTGGTAGGAAGGATTAGTGTCCTGGCACTGAAGTAACAAAATAAAACAAAACAAAAAATCCCTGCCCATCAATAAGGAAGAGTGATGAGAATTTATGCAACTTAGATTTGCTGGATCCAAAGACAGCCTCTCATAAAACCATCTTTGATCCCTTTCTCCTCCAACTGTGGCCTAAAGGCCATCATAGCCAAGACCCAGCCTCCCCCCTCCAGCTATTGAGACCTGGTTTATCCTTCCATCTCTGGCAAGTGAGATATGTTGGCATTGTTTACTTTAAATCACTCTCTTCTGCCCTCAACCCTTAGAACCCTGCTCCTGTATGTGTTGTTTTAGTCTTTGAACTTCCCCTTGTGTAAGTTGAAACTTTTATCATAATAAAAGACATTGCTTTATATGTTACTCTGTCTGATTCTTTGGCAAAATTCTGAGTCCTAAAACAATTGAAATGGACTGGGACACCCTCTCATTGACAGAAATTAGGATAGTCTTGTTCTTAATGAAACCATGAGCTCCTAGTGCTCATCACTTACCCAAAGTGCCCAGAAAACAATCCATTTTAGAATTTTATAGGAGGCAAACATCACATTCATTTGTCTATAATTTATGAACTAACTCTGTTAATTTTTCCCCTTAAAAAAAAAAGGATCAGGGTAGAGTCCTGAGTAAAATGGGTAGAGATGGGTAAAAGCCCTTTATCAGTTCTATAGTAATGGGTATTTTCCATGCTTGCTCAAAGATCATCATTAGTAGCTCAGAAATCTGAGATGTTTTCTATTTGGACCAGTTGACTTGAATTCATGTAGAGAAGTTAAGTGCTCTACTCTTCACTTGTGTTTCAGTTAAATTTTTGTCCTTTTCAGTCTCACAGTTCTATGCAGTAGAGAAAATAGAAGGAAAGTAGATTAATAGTCTTTTTTTTAAGTTAATCCATAAATATTCTCCCATATTTTCATTAGCAATAGCCCTAGCCTTTCTTTCTTGTATCTGTTGCCTTGGAAGTAGTCCCTCAAAAGAATAACAAAGAAACCAACTCTTGTGAATATCTTTGCAAGTCCTAGTGTGTTCTAGGCTTTAATCTTCCTGACAGAGTCTTACAAGTATTTTTTATTCATCCTTGATTACCTGCTCCATCAATCTTTTCCATTCTTTAAAATTTGAACTCCAGAAACAACTTCTATAACAATATCATTCTCTTTAGATATCTCTTACTGAGGGAATTGAGGGGATTGGAGCAGCAAGTAATGGTGGGAATTGAGTGAACCACACTGATTCCATCTTGTGACTCAGTTATGGAGCCAGCTTAGTACCCTTTCTGTTCTATTAGGGGTTTATTTCAACTTCTGTCTTATGAGAAAACCTTATTCAGTTGTGGTAATTGGGAGAAAACCTTATTGTATTGTTTGAACCTAGCCCTGCATGGCTGGGAAGCAGAACCACCTCTACCTGCTGTTTAGAGACCCTTAACTAAAAACCTAGATTATGTTGACTAGAAACCTGGTCATATCCAAAGATTGGTACAAAGAGTTTCTCACAATTGTGTATCTCAAGCAACCCATATGTCTTATCTGGAAACTGGCCGCATATTGGTCAGTTATTGTTTTCATGTTCCTTTGATTGATTACAGACGCTTGGGGAGAGTGGGACACTGCTTTTTCTGATTTCAGGAAATTGTACCTGTTCACTCTCCCCCTCCCAACTTGGAAAGTCACTAATAATACCTCCAATTAAGAATCAAATTACCTAATTTTGTATTCTAGTTAATCATTTCCTTTTAATTAATTGGTCTTACTTGGTTAATTGGGTTTTTTTTATTTATTGTTTTTAATGTATAAAAGTCTGTCTCCCCTTGTATTCAGGGTCCAGCGCAAGGTGAGGAGGTCTGGTCCTGTTTTTTTGAGCAATTGGCATGTGTTGTTTAATAAATCAAAATGCTCAGAATCTGGAACCTTTGTTTCCTCAATCATTTCATATTTTAAATTTTAGAATTTGTAGTAGATGCTTCAATTCTGTTCACCAAAAAATTTATGAAGTACCTACTGCAAATTCTAAAATGGCATGGTCACTTTCCCTCAAGATTCCTATCATTTCTCATTTATCCCAGAATTAAGTCCTGAATAGTAGTTTTCCTCATCTCTTTACATCCTAAAAGATGTAATTATCAACAAGGTAATTCAAAAAATTTCTCATGCTCTGGAGAGAGAGAGAGAGACATCTTCAGTAGATTACTAGGTGTAGTTGACCAGGTGGTTGTACTATAATATACTCCCACAACAATATCATTTCAGCTTGAGGATTCCCACTCATCTTGATATACAATACTACTCTGCCACCTCTTCTTGTCTCTGCTTTTAAATAAAGTGTATTATTTTATTACTATATTCTAACCATGAGTTCCTCCATACTTTTAATATGTCAAAAGATTCATGATTTCCTTGATGTAAGTATGCCCTTCACTTATGCAGATTGCAAACATTTTCCACCTTCATTGATGGGCTTCATGAGTTGGCTGTAGTCAAAAAAAAATGCATTACTTGATAACCAACCTCATAATGACCCTCTCTGGACTTAGTTAAGCTGGTCCTTAGAAAACAGACACACAGTACATTACAATGCCTACTCACAGAAACTTAGCCTAAAGAACATGACAGGCATATCCTTCAAGAGCCTAGGCTCACTTCCTTGACACCAGGAAGCCCCAGAGTAGGGCTTGCAGTAAAATTTACAGTTCACTTTGTTTAACACCTATACTTAGTGCCTTGGTATATTGACATCTGGGACCATAATCTTCCTACGTGCTTTCATTTCTTTTCATCCCAGCATTACACCCCCACCCAAAATACCCTCTCCTCCCTACAAAACTCTTTCACTGCATGTTCCTAGTATCACCATTCCATTGTTAACAAACTTCCCTTTATTTTCGATCTCTTAATATACCTGCCACCTTTTATAGACTGAAACTAGGCTATCCCCTGAAGATTCTAAATCTCTATCTACCCTTTCTACTACTGACTGCTTTTTTTCACTCACCCCGCCTCAGGTCCTCGAAGTGAAATTCTCACTGAATTTACTTCCCACTGAAACTTGTTCTATCATCATTTAGGTACTCTTCTGAAGATCCTTCCATGTGACCATACCAGGCTTTCTCAGTCTTTGTTCTTGTTATCTACTATCCTTTAGGATAGTTCCTACTTTTATTCATGAGTTCCACACTTGCGTCATGATCTTATTTGCTGTCATGTCTCTGTCATCATCCTTGGAGACTTCATTTTTGAAATTAATCATTAGTCTTAAAACCTGCTTTCACAGTTCTTTGAGAGCCAAACTCTTCTGACCTCCACTTCTACTTTATACCCTCACCATCAATCAAACATATTCCACCTTCAGGATCCCAAACTCTAGAATGTCTCTATTTGACCACAATCCAATAATATCTTTTTACTTCTCTCCTTATTTTTCCCATATGCATTGCTTATCTTCAATATACCTCAACTCCCTCCTATTCTCCTTATTAACTCTGTCCTGGCCTCCTTTTCCTTCCTATCTAGTTATGACCCTATGGCCATTTCAATAATGTCTTCTCCACTCTTAAATACATCTTTTCTCTCTTGAACTTTTGTCTTTCCTACCTGAAACTTTAAAAAGAAAAGGGGGGGGGTTTTCCAGTCTTCCTTGCCAGTTTTATTTCTCACAGATTCTACATTCTAATTAAATTGAATTTCTTGCTGTCTCTGCTCTCATCATGCCTCTCCTGTCTACATATCTATACTT